CTCATTTATCAAGGACGAAGATAGAGGATAACGTTTGAGTATTTTATTGTTTTTCTTCGGATTGGTTAACCATTTACTAAATGAAAATCACGTTAATCCATTTAAAAACAAAAACGCCCGAGTTAGTATTTGCCCTAATCTAGCTGTCCAAAGAAAGACTGAATTAAAGATGGAGGTGATAGAGGCATTCTCTCCTCGAATTCTAAACAGCTATCGATTTCTATCAGCCAATCTCACAATACAGTTTTACCTAGTATTTTTTTCACCTGCATATTCCTGGAGACAGTTAAATTTTGTTTTCTTTTACTTGTTTATCCTTGGGTCAAATCGAACCAAACTTGCCAAACGCAACCTACTTAACAATTGATTATTTTTAAGCTGTTATAATAGCTAAAAAATAAAAGAATATTGTTTTTATAAAAATATGTTTTTGCTCTAACTTTGGTTTATTTATAGGACATAAAGAAAGGAAATTACTCTTTCTATGTTTATTTTTAGTTTATGTTTAAAAAGTCCATATGATTTACTTTTTAAATCAATATCTTTCACGGAGTAAATAATAAAAACAAAAAAGTGTGCAGAATCTAAAAAATTAAAAAAACCTAGGGTATTCCAAAATAATAAAATGAAATTAAAAAAATAATAATTTATAAAAAATATTTAAGAAAAATAATTGTCCATTTTAGCAGTTTCTAAGATAAGCAATAATGGTAAATTTAAAATGGTAAAAATATATGTCATTATAATCCTATGCCATAGGTATAGGTAAATTTTCTAATAATAATAAAGATTTGAAATTTATAGGCTTTGCGTGAGTAAACCTCTATCCTTATTCTTTATTTTGAACTACCACACTATAGTATACAGAACTTTTTAGTCTCTTTTATTATGTTTGTTCTTTAAATTGTGATGCTGCATTTTGTTAAGTAAAAAAAAGACAATCATCTCTTTCTTCGCCAGTCGCTTTTAGACTACTAAATATTTTAATTATTTATCAGATACGGTTTCTGAACCCAAATTGGCAAATGAAATATTCAAGCGGCAGCCTAATATAACAGTTTACCTTTGGCTTTTAATATTCTGTGGACTATTCTCTACAGGGTGGTCCAAATTATATTTTTTTATAACTTAACCACAAAATTAAACTAGGTACACAAACATAAGTTACAGTTATAAAAATTATTATAATATAATAGGGTATTTTCTTAAGATAAAGTGTTGTAGAACGTATAAAAAAAACCGAGACAGTTATGTTAAATATTGTCTCCTAAAAATGCAAAGGATGCAAGAATATTAAAAAAGATCACGTTGCTACTACAATGACTCCTTGAGCTCTTGATTAAATTTTTAAAAATTCCCGCTTTTTAATGAATAATATTTTCTTGCCTGTGACAAGGCATAGAGTCACATTTAATTAATCTACTTTAAAATGCGACAATACAGACGGTTTTCAAGAAAATTTATTGACGCCAACGTCCTTAACTTTTAAAGTAATTTATTAACAGAAATGATGAGTTTGTTCAAAGTAAGACGGTAAGTAGTATTTTAAATATGTATTTATTTTCATTTAAACAATTATTTAAATCTTTTAAATTTGTTAGAATTCAAAATATGCGCTAAATTCAAATCTAATACTAATAAAATCTAGAGCTTCCATAAGATACATATTAAAAAAAAACTTGCTATCGGCTGCCATGATATCGTTCTTTTCATCATATAAAAAAGTGCGTTTTAATCAGTAGTAGTTATGCCCACGAGACCAACGATACGAGACTTTCATAAAGTCTTCTCGTCTTGTTAATAAAATAAAAGTCTTGTCTCGCAGCCTCCAGTCTCGTTTCTCATATGGGTCTTACAAAAGTATACGGTCAAATGGACAGCACGCCACCATTTCAGGGTTATTAAAAGCAATTTTTGGTTTGACATCACCCATCTTATGGTTTCATACTTATCAAACCCTTTCATTTGATACCCATGTCAAAAAGGCTGTAAAGTAATAGGTAATTTGCCATCCTGAGCGGTCATCATAATGGATCGAGTATGACGTCACTTACCTTATTGTTTTCTAATCAAAACTTTTCATTTGATACCCATATTAAGGGGGTTGCAAAGAAAAAGGTAATCCGCCATCTTAAAGCGGCCGCCATTTTGAATAAATTACAATATTGGGTATACTATATTTTATTGTTACCAGAACCAAAAGTGTGTTTAAAGTTTTATTTAAGTCGGTTGGGTGCAAGTAGGTTAAAATCGACTTCCTAGATTTGGTTACAAGTAAAGCTAATAAAGCGTGTAAAAAAGTAGGTATAAATTGGCCCAACTTTAAATAGAAGGTTACGATTTTTGTCATTTTTTCGACATTTTAGACTTGAAAAGACTATAGTATACTAAGGAAATTACAATAATAATTGATCCCCAAGCTAAATATGATTATACCATAAAAAATTTAGATCAATAGGTGAATTAATTTTAAGAAATCGTTGCAGCCAATTTGAAAAATGTAGTTAAAAAAAAACGCTTTTAAAAGCACAAGTATTTTTCAAATACCTATTGCCAAGTCCTTTTATCAATATAATATAATTCCAAACATGCTAGGGATGCGATTTATTAACCAAAAAGCGATTGTTTGACCTCTTTCAACACAACTTTGAACAACTTTAGAACCTCTATTTATAGATATTTGTGTGACCACAAAAATGGCTTTCTATTAATCATTGGTTTATATTAATATAATTTGACTAATAAGATCCTCTAATTGTACGTTTCATTTAAATTATTACCTTACAATATATCAAAATCAAATTGAAAAAAGACAGGGGTCATTAAATCTCGTACGTAGATTTTTTCGATGCCGTTGATTCTTATCTTGCAGGCTATAAAAGTATATCTTTGTAATTACCGCACTGATTTGCCTATTATTAAATTTTGTCATTACCTTAATTATTTTAATAATACTTCTTCAGCTCGCCGGTTTTTCAAAGAAGTTTACACGAAACAATTTTTTTGTTTTAGATATCCAATTAGATGAATTCCAACGTTTTTATTCATATACTGTGGAGTAAATAATTATATTTTTGATTGATATTTGATATAATTTAATTTAATTGAGGCGAAATACTCAAAACAAAATAAAGAGATTAGGAATAATTTTGTTGCAGTTAGAAAGGATATTAGTTACTTTATTAGAATGAAAAGCATAACCCATTGTAGTTTGGAATATTTTAGGTAATAATAATTTTGCATAACTTTATTTGAATTCAATGCATTATCGGTTTATTTAGCATGTACATTACAGCATTAATATACTGCATAATATGAAATATGATTGATTCCGATTTTTTTATTAAATACAATTTTAGTTAGATTTTTTACAACCACATTAAAAAATTTAAAAAGTATCTGCAATAGCCTTTATTTATTAAATCAACCGTAAAATCCTCTGCAGCAAAAAAAACAACGGATAATGAAAAATAGCGCTCTTCAATTAATAAAAACCAAATTGGTTTTTGATACACCTGGGAAACTAATTGGAACAATAAAAAATATCACATTAATTTATATTAGTGGAAGTGGCAAACTGACCATTTCAGATTTTTAATATTTTATTATTCGTAAAACGATTTTAAAATTATGATTTGTTTATTATGTATATTAGGGTGATTTAAAAAAAATCCACTATTTTTTTTCTTATGATATCGAAAAATGCTTGTTTTTTTTCTTAGCCTGGGGGTAGAATTTGTACCTCATAAAAAAGGAAATTTTTCAAAAAAAAAAAATGTTTTTACTCAACATCTTGAGGTGGCCCACTCGTTTTTTAAATATATATTTAATCAAATGGGGTAGTTCCAACGGGAAATTCTTTTTTAGGTCCAAAATCGTGGAAAACATGTAAAAATTGTAGAATGTGATTTTTTTTCACTCAACTTTCATTCTAATACAAAAGAACGTGCATTTCATTTTTTTAATTTTTTACTTAAATTACAAAAACAATGGGAAAAAAACTTTTTCAACTTTTGATTTACAATTGGCTTTTGAGGGGACGCCCTACAGATGCTAGAACGAAAAAAAGAATTTCCCGTTGGAACTACCCCATTTGATTAAATATTTATTTAAAAAACGAGTGGGCCACCTCAAAATGTTGAGTAAAATTTTTTTTTTTAATTTTCTTTTTTTATGAGGTAAAAATTTTACCCCCAGGCTAAGAAAAAAAACAAACATTTTTTTTTCAACCCTCCCTCAGTGAGCACCTTAAAATAAGACTAAGTATTATCTCTTACTATTAAAAGTAAGATTCTACTCACTGTAATTTTCCATTTTTAGATAAGTCCGATGAACTAATAAATGAATATAAAGCCATATAAATATATATATGAATATAAATCCATTCAAAATATATTTTAGGTCGAAGTTTTAAAAAGTTTTAAAAAATATAGTGAGATACAAAATGTTTTTCACTAACGTGAAAATAGAAAATTCAATGAGGAGGATCTTTTGAGGTGCAACCAATTTTTCGATATCATGTCAAAATAATAATAGTAGATTTTTTAAATACCAAAATGTATTTGTATATACAATAAGTCAATATTTTTTATATCTGGATTTTAGGTAAATTTATAATCGATAATTTAATAATTTTTATTATATAAAAATCAGTTTATTCAGATTTTTTAATTAATGCCTAAGCCCTACGTTATAAACAAAAAAATCCTCAGCTCTCAATACAAATAATGACTGGAAGTGAGAAGCAGGGACTAGCAATGTAAATATTAAGTATTTCACAGGAAGGCGCTAAAAGCTTTTGATTTCACTATTTGTTTGAATTTGGCTGTGTGGACGTGCAAGGCTTCTGGCTTCTAATATAAATACGAAACGATGCTTTACGCCATTCACAAACATTCCCTTCAAATGGCTAAACAAAAACAAATAACGAAATCTTAAAATTGTATAACAAAATAACGAAAATTTCCTTGGTCTTTAATGTTGGTTATTTTTTGTTGCAGATATGAATATGACTAATTATCTCTAATGCTGGTAGAGTTTCCTGCAGGAAATTTAAAGTAAGTATGTAGGGGAATTTATATTAAATAATCTTGAAATTTTCAAAATAAGTGTAACGCATAAAAATAAATCTGAAATAAAATGGTACCTACCGTTCATATAGCTAACAGTAATGATTCATTTATTGACTAGACAAAAAACGGATTTATGTTCTCCAATATGAACCTTATGTTTACATTTGTCATAAATCAGATCATAAATAAATTTTATTGGAGCAGAACCGTTGGCAAGATAGAACATCTCAATCATGCATCGATGCTCGACCATTACAAAGATAAACAAGCCGAAAAACAAAAAACAAACGAACCGGTATTGCAAGCAGACTTGATTTACGCGAGTCTCGTAATTCAGCGGCACACTTGACGTAGACTAAATGACATTTCGCTACTTGATCTCTGACGGAGTTTATTAAAACATATACACTGAGTTTTTTTCGATTTGATTTGTGTTTGAAACAGACAATGCTCGTTTTAATAAAACGGATCCAGTTGATCTTTTCTCTGCGTGAAAGGAAATGGAACAACGTGAAGGTTATTTCCGCTTGACAATGTCAAGTCCAGAAACCCTGTCATTAATATTAAATACTTTTTATTTATTTATATAGATATTACAGTAAAATGACAAATAATAATAATTATAAGTATAATAATTAAGATGAATGTTTTACCAATATGTGATTAAAAATGAGGGCAATTTAAGATTCGATGAGATCTTAATTGCAATAAATCGAGCATGTTTTCTTTTAAAAAATTAATCTAAACATTTTCTTATTTCATATATAAAGGTATTTACAATTAAAATCATACACCAAAAATAAGTTATTGTAGCATACAGAAAAATGATTTAATTAAATCTTCGTTTACACAATCAAAATATATACACTCGGTGCAGTCATTCGTAATGCAACTTGTATTGTTGCTATGTACCGTATTTTGCAAAAACAAAAACCCACATGATATGTTTATTTAATAAATTGCCGGATGCATTAATTAAATTTACTCTAAAAACACGCAATGTGAAGCTTTTATTTGTTCATGAAAGTTTATTATTGCTAGTACAAAGATTCCATTAGGTATTTAGTTTTCTTTTTTGTTTAATTATTTTTTTTGATATAAAATAACTTACTTTGCATTTGCATTTTTAAATATTATTTCTGATTTACCCATTAGCTTTTCTGCCTGTGCAATAGAAGAAAACTTTAGAAAATTTGAAAATGAGATAATTTTAAATTCTTAACCCTCTTATCTTATACAGGGTGCCCCATAATAAGAAAAAAAGTTCCTATAAACATAGGCCGAGAAATGCTTTCTAAGGGAACTGCATCCCCTAAATGAGGAGCCCCTGAAGATGGTTTTGATTTAATATCTCCAAAACCGTTTAAGATAGAAAAGTGAAATTTTGGGATATAATCAAACTTTTTATAATTTGGAATAATATCAATTTCAAAATTTTCATAAGGGGTGGGTCAGATAGAAATGGAGTGGGGGTAAAACTACCCTAACTTGTTTGTACGTATCTTGTGCGGAGTTTTACACACAAAAAAGGTCCTTTTGATGAACTTCGATAGCATGCACCTTTATCGCTTAAAATCGATTTAAAAATTATTTTACATAGCATAAAAATTCATAATGAAATCACAACTAGAGAAAAAGATTCAGCGTAGGCCATGGACAATTTTTAAACATGGGCATGGACAATTTTTAAACACCCTGTCACATATTACATGAAACTGTCACCTGTCTTAAATAATTTTTCATAAAGATGACAGCTGTGTTCCATGGCCTACTCTGAATTTTTCTTTCTTGTGAATTCATTATGATCTTTAATTCTATGTAAGGTAATTTTTAAATGGATTTTAAGCGAAAACTGTGGTCAATATCAAAGTTTAACAAGAAAACCTTTTTTGTTTGTAAAATTCCGAAATTTCATACTCTCACATCAAATCCTAGCACGAGACATGTACAAAAAGTTAGGGTAGTTTTAACCCCTATTCCCTATCTATCTGACCCACCCCTCATGGAAATTTTGAATAGATTGAACAAGTTTGATTAATCCCCAAAATTTTATTTTTCTACCTTGAACGGTTTTGGATATATTAAATAAAAACCATCTTCAGGGTCTCCTCATTTAGGGGCTGTAGTTCCCTTAGAAAGCATTTCTCGGCCTATGTTTATAGGAACTTTTTTTCTTATTTTTGTACGTAGAATCTGCGCGAAGGCGAAGTTCAGTACCCTACACTAGGTAGTTCACTGCTCTTGCACGCTAATTATGGGACACCCTGTATACCTATTGGTTATGCAAAATGAGGCAACTCAATATGCAATCAAAATACGAGGGCGGAGTGATGTGGTAAAAATAAAAGAAGGAATAATATTTTAGTCAAAAAAATAATTTATTTTTCAACGGAGTCAATGGTTCCAACAGTTTTTGACCCCTTTGATCCCTTCTGAATAGTATGATTTTTCCAACCCTGCAAAATAGGCGTTTGTTTAATCGATTACTTCCCTATTAGAGCCGAATCTCTTTCCACCAAGCTATTTCTTCAAGTTTGAAAATAGGAAATAGTCGCAAGGGGCTAAGTTTGGAGAATTTGATGGATTTGGAAGCAATTTATAGCGTAATTCATGCATGAATTACGCTATAAATCCATGGATTTTGCATTTTCTTGGTGGAAGAGAACTTTTTCGTCAAGGCAGTCGTTTTTCCTTTAAAATATCGTTAAAACGGTCCAATAAATTAAAATAATATCCACCGTTAATCGTACCCCCTTTCAAGAAAATCTATGTAGATAATGCCGAGTGAATCCCAAAAAACTGTGGCTAAAACCTTGTTTCCAGAAAACATTTACTGATCTCTTGGGTATAGTAATGGATCCATATTTTGTCCACTGTTATGGACCGCCGCAAAAACTCCTTTTTATCACTCTTAAACATCGTCAAACCTGCCTCTAAAGTTGTCAAGCATGTGAGTGGTCGAAAGTGATTAAACGTGGAACGTTTTTTTTTTATGCAAATTTTATTATTTAAAAAACTTTGTCTTAAAAACTATCTTCATACACGGGTGAATCACTGATGTTTTAAAATGATTCTTAATGTGTCTCCATCTGCACGTACAGGAGCGAATTCTTCCTAATTCAATAACCTACATATTACCTTAATTTAAAAGTTAAAAAATTCCATCGCCCATTGTCGGGAAATAAACGCTTGGCTTTAATTACCGAATTGGCTTTTCCGCTGTACAATTAATTCGTATAATATCTTGTTGCATCTGTCACCCGACCGAAGCACGGAGAGAGTCTGGAAAGGGATCGTTTTTAATTCTCCGTTCCGGTTAGACGGTAGCCGGGTTTTGCGCTGGCTAGATACTGGCCTCGTTTTCTCATTGACACTAAACTTAATTATTCCATTTATTGCGACAAGAAACGCTGAAACGTTTACAATTAGCACAGTGCTGGACCTAGAAAGCATTGAGACCTCTCCAGGAAGTTTTATTATATATTTATAAAGTTTTTTTTTTATTTTTTGACTTTCACCATATATTTAATATTTAATATTATCCTGTAATTTCATTAGATTCACACTCCAAGCACGACAATGGGCTTAAATAAAAAGTACGAAATCAGCATGTCTTATTGTAATTTGTCTAAATCTCAACAAACACTGCATCTATAATAGATGATCTATTGTACTCGGTTGTACGGTTGTGCTTTCTCTTTAGCAAAATTAATATTGGAATCTCCACTTGAGATGATAGATAGCTAAGAATTCCCTTTATTAATACATCATATCATATTAAATGAATTTCCTGCAACGCTTAATTAGAAAAATTCAGTACTACAAATTGTAGTCTACAATACAATAAAAAGTTTTTTCTATTTACCTTGCTTAAATTAATGAGTGTATAGAAAAATTTATAAACGAGGTGCATACTATACTTTTTCTACGACAAATACTTATTATTATCTTAAAATGATTTAAATAAAAAAATTGTATAGAGCGCAATCTATGAAACAGTAGGAACTCTGTGTGTCACCGTCAAATGTCAAATTTTTGTATTTTATAAACACAGATTATAAAGGTTATAAATCGAATTGTATTTCTTGAAAATTTACAGATTTTCACAGAGAAAGTAAAAAAAATGTTTTATGAGCACTTTACAGTGGAGTCCGTGCCCGAATTTAAGTTATAATTTACTGTCGGTGAAATTAAAAGGTCAGTTCAATGTTCATATAAACTTTTTAAATATTGGCGTTGAGAAACTATTTAATACTTTTGTATTTTTGTATTGAGGTAATAAAAAAGCTTTTACATTTAGTATTATTTAACAAGAAAGGCACTTTATTTTAATGATTGTATGACATTTGACAACTGTCAACTAACTTCAGCCCATGACTAAAGCGCAATAAAGCCACAACTTGTCAATTTGTATTTAAATGTCACTTAGTGTCATGGAAACATGTACGATAAAGGGCGTTTTAAAGGTGGGAGTAGAAAAACATATTTAAAATAAAAGTTTATTATTATACGAGAGATAATGCAGGCTATTATTTACAATATTTGCGCCTCCAGTGTAATACTATACTTTAATTTAAAATTAATTAAATAAAATCACCTGTCAAATGATTAATGTTACTTTAAACCAATTTGAAATATTATTATACTAGCCTTCTCTAAATTTAAAACCCGATTGGTTCAAATCACAGTGAATATTGAAATTGTCCAATCACTGATGCCTAACAACGTGAATAATGAGTTCATGGACACCTTGAAGCAGGTTGTAAAAAAGCACGTTTGTCAATGTTTAGACTATATATTTTTTATTTCCGCTACGCAGGATCTTAGTTAATGAGGGTTTATTGCGGACATAAACTAAATTGTCATCAATTTCACATAGAAAAGGATAATTACAAGAAGTCCTTTCTGTTGTTAGCGTCGGAAAAGAAAAATTATTGCAACCACGCCCAGTGGTTCCAAATTAAAAAAACTGGTAAAAAATGAAGGTCTCTTTTAATTTCTTCAATAATTATAATTTATTTATAAGGGTTTTTAAGATCGCTTATTGTGAATCTGCATTTAAATATGAGTTGAAAAAAAAAACAAAATAGAGAAACATTTTTCTCAAAAATGATTTAATTGTCATAAAATTTAATGGTGGGAGGGTTTTTGCAAGTCATGGGTCTTTGCAGTCAATATTTACTTTATGGAAGGATTTTGAGGTCGCTGTTAACAAATCTGCAATCAAATTGTGGAAAAACAAAATGGCGGATGAACTTTTTGATAAATGGTTTAATTTTGATTAAATTCACTTTAAGGGGCATTTTTATGTCCCTAATTACGAATATAAATTTAAGTGATCAAAATTAAATGGAAATTCCAAAATGGTGGACACCTCTATATAAATTACACTGCAAGAGAGCTTTCAAGGTCAACTACAAATATGCAGTTCATTAGTTAAAACCATATTTGGAAATCAAAATTGTTCAATTTCGGGTCTCCATACACTTTTTTACGCAACTACATTATAGTACTCAGATGAAATTACTAAAAAACGAAATTTTCATTTTGACTTTTAGCCAGCTTTTTTAGATTTGGAGCCACTGTACAACCTGCAAATGTATTTTGCTTTTTAGGGCGGAATATAAAGAATTCCAGTCGCATAAAAATATTTTAAAGTTTAAAATGTATGTCATGCCTGTATTCTGACGAGACCGCAAAGGAAACGGAAAAACAGTCGCCCCCAAAAAAACCCAATTTACATCTAACGGCAAAAAATGTGCAATAATGTTGTGAGCTCTAATAGTTCGGCAAAAAAAGGACGGTCGCCGCTAAATTTTAAAATAAAAGGGATTTGATTCGTATTCGAAAAGAAATTTTAAATGTAGGTACATGTTAATGAAAAACTGCCAAGAAAAATGACTACAAAGTCAAAGGGACTTTAAAAGCTTATTGTATTCTCTTGTCACATTCTTCCTCATTTAAAACTTCATATGATTTTTGATGATATGTTTCACCTAAATATAATATACCTTTATTTTTCTCTACCAAAACAAAAATACGCCTAAAAGTAATCAAACCCATTAACACAATTATCAGAAACAACAATATTTTGTCAACTATACTAAATGTTTTTTGGGCGATAAAGGTAAACAATGGCATCCCATTAGAAGTGTACCTAAGTTTACGTACTTTCTAATCTAGACTTATTGTCTACACAAGAGGATATTGATTAAAAAGGACAAATGCATTTAGTAAAACACATGACATTATAAAAATTAAATCCTAAAAACATTCCTTGAGTGGCTTTCTTTTAAGTATCTTTCCTGGATAGTTTTAAAAACCTAACGAGGTTATTTTCCGTCCTACTTACAATCAACAAGTAGAAGATATAAATCATTATAAGATGTCCAGCTGGGTTTTCAAAGGTGCAGAGAGCGCACGTAGGGATTTAAAACCTTGCACCAAATTTATTGACTGTTGCATCTTATTTATCATGCTGAAATTTTAGTAGGTTAGTTTTTATTAAAATTACACGCGTGACTAAAATACCCAAGGTAATTAATACCTTTAATGTGTTTTTGCTGATAGGAATCAAAAAAATAAATTAATTAAACAGTATTTTGCGCTGTAAAAGTCACAGTAAAGAATGGAAATAATTATAACGTATGCTTAATAAATTTAAAACACAGGCTTTTTATACACCAACGTGGTAGCCGACTTAAATCATAACATTGACATAAAAAAAACAAAAAGTCAAAAAAAGCCGAAGAAGATTAGAGAGAAAATGTTAATTAACGCTTCGGCAAGGATTTTTAACTTCTTTTGTCCCTCTTTGTTTTAGTTATTTTAACAAGCACGTGTAATTCTGTTATCGACAGGTTTCTTGAAAAGAAATTCTTGACGATTGTTACATTACATCGAGTGGGGTAAAACTTTAAAAATAAACTAAAAACAACCGCTTTCGTTTCCAAACCGTGTTGACAGAACTTGCAGACTATATAACCGTTAAGCCCTTTAAATAGTGTAGATTATTTTAACGCTTTATTAATGCATTATAAAATAATTAAAATCAGTATTTTTAAAATATGCAAATGACATTTTATTCCATAATGATGTCATTCCACATTTAGCTTTAAAAAATTAAATTAAATATTTAGTTAATTGACGGGAAGCATGATAATGGAAAAAAGGTAATTGCTCATTGCATTCATTCTTAATACATTCTAAAATATTCAATTTTTTTTTATAAATAGTTAAAAGTTTTCATAAACAAATGAATTTTTCCATACAAATTTTTAACGTGAATAAGTAAATAATTTAATGTAATAATTAGTTATAATTTTCCTTTTACCGTCAATCGTATACGATACCTTGTGCTTGTATACCTTGTACCTTGTGCCAGCAAAATTAAAAATATATACTTTAATAAAATAACGATTTGACAAATGAAGCACTATATTTTTAATTTTGCTGGCACAAGGTACAAGGTATACAAGCACAAGGTACACAAGTAGTATATTTGTGTTAGAGTTGATGAAGGATTGGGTAATTGGGACCGTTAAAGGTTAATAAGCCCGTCCTGACAATATTTAGAGAACGTGATATTTACAGCCATTATTCTTATTAGGCCCAAAACGAGTCAAGTTAGGGTAGCGGTGTTAACATCTTTAATTACTCCAGACAAGCATGCAACCCCTTATAACGCCGACATAACTTATTACCCCATATCAACACTTTCTAATTATCATATTTTTTGTTACAGATCAAACACATCAAAAATGAATTCCACGTACAAATTCTTGCTCTTGCTTTTGCGGATATCAGGATTATGCCTGTTGGCTGGTGTGGATGCTCGCGAACAAAAGTTTGCCATGGAACCGCAGGACCAAACTGCTGTTGTGGGTTCCAGAGTTACTTTGCCTTGTAGGGTGATAAATAAGAGTGGAATTTTGCAATGGACCAAGGATGATTTTGGACTTGGCACCCATAGGAACCTTAGCGGGTTCGAGAGGTACTCCATGGTGGGCAGTGATGAAGAAGGTAAAAACACTATATACTATACTAAAGTCTATTCAAATCCAAGCTGGACTAAATGTAAACACAATCCTCCGAATCGACCAATAAGAACTCACAATCCGAGTCACACCATCAGAATCGACCAATAAGAACAAGTTATCATGCGTCTGGGCGTTTTTGTTTAGTCCAGCTTGGATTTGAATACACTTTATACTATGTTTGGTCAATTTAAATACACTTTATTACAAAAAGGCTCCCCCCTTGCTTTGTCTTGTAAATATAAAGGTTTTAGTAATTACAGTAATGGAAACATGGGGCGTTTTATCTGTTAATGTGTCGGGTTTCAATGAAATGTTAATACATGATATCTAGCGATAAAGTAATACATTAAATAATTATTTTTACTGTTTTAATAACACATTTTCATGATGTTGCTTCCACGTGATTTGACAGTATGGCATTTTAAATATTTATATCGAAATGTGCGCGTCTACAAAGATTGTGCATTAGTCGGAGTGATGTGGGTATGCTGCCTCATATTTGATTTTCGGAGTAAAATATATGTAGGTATATTTAATGTGTTTTTGTGCCACAATGTTACATGTCAATTTTTGATGTATTTTCATACACAGCTGTCTTTATAAATTTAACTACTAGACATAACACAATATTTCACTAATATATATATATATATAAAATTTAAGAATTTATATTCCTTTAAATTACATGCCAAATTACAAATTATTCCTATGGTGCAGAGTAATCAATCAAATACGATAATAAGATTACGGTTAATAAAGCTGATACTAATCCATACAGGTATTCCCCGTAATTCAATTTGTGTAAGCCGAAATTACAATAACAAATATCTGGATGAACAAATTCCAATATTCACCACCAATGATTATTTCACCTATCGAGATTTATTGGCGTTAGAAATAATGTTAAATCAAAACAACTTCTGCATAGGGGATGAATTTTAGAGACAACAGAAAAAAATCATAATTTAAAATGTTCTTTGATTTAGCAGGCGTCCTTAGTTTTTATTTAGTACCCTGCCGACGTCAAAGAGGCTTATAGTAAGTGCACAGCCGTATTTGGTACACGAAGCGCTAAGACAGCTCATCGTGAGTGCTAAAAGCCCGACTAAAAATACATCTAGATGAGAGTGGATATGTCTTATATGCAAACTGCACCGTGTCTTTTTTTATTGCAGTCGTATCCTGCCTATGTAACAAATTAGCTACATCAAAGGTGAACAATGAAAGCAACCTTTATAGTGGATATTCACATAGAAAAATCATGATAAATTTTACGGAAAACCTTATTTTAACAGTTTTCGTGCTACTTATCGTTTAATTAAATTTAGTGCTTTTAACGATAACAATTTTATTGGAAGAGTTTTCTATAACCCATTAATTTTCTACGTAATTTATCTTATCCCGTACGGTAAAAGAAGAAAATTAATATTTTATTGTCCATTTTGTATATTTATTCCGAAAATAAATTTAAATTTATTGTTTACTTCCAACTCGACGAACCTTGAAAATCTAAAATTCGAAGGTGTCAATGCTTGTTTATTTTAGCAATTATAACTCGCAGTTCTAATTAGTGCAACATGAGCACACAAGAAAGTTGTTTGGCGCCAATATTTGTGTTTGGAATTATGAACACGTGTCAAAGTCCCTTCCAAATCACGAAATACATTTTCTTAAGTTTGCGCCCTGATTGCCCGCCTTCCGAACAAACATTATCTTAAACGCCTGGGCCACGCTGTTATCGACGTTATGTTTTCTCAAGACACTTTCCTTGTTGATTAAATTAAAGCTTCTGCTGTATCACAACACTTTTATAAATTATCCCAAGTTAAAAAATTATTGAGACATCTACAACATCTACAACATTTTCTTTTATGATGGGTTTACAACTTTTTTAACATAAATTCAAATCATGTTATATCAATGTCCTTCTATATGCTATATATTATTATATAAATTTCACAAGTCCAAAAAATTTCCTGCTCAATCTAACATCGAGTGGTATTTGTTGAGAAAATTCCACAAGTAAATAAATTAAGTCATTTTTGTGTCACTTTGGCATTTTTCTCTACAATAATACATCCGTTACTATGGAAAAGGTAAATAGAAAAATATTCGCCAATTTTAGTCACTTGCATTTCTGTTCCTTCCTTTTTATCCGTCAGCAAACCGTATTTTTGATAGTTTTTAATAGGTTTAAATTGACAGGAGTGGAATTATCGAAGATAATTTTCATACCGAAACTTCTTTACTTTGTTGCCTTTTCAATTCAATAATTTAAATAAACTACAATAAAATATATGTCAAATAAGGGTTGCTTTTTACATACAATAAACTATAATTTTAGTTTTAGTATTTAAAATGCCATACCGTCAAGTTAAATATTATCTATTTGACGTACAACGATTACTCCAGTAAAATAAAACAAAATAAGGCATAATGATTTAATACATAATTAAAATATTCACAAAAGACTTTTGAGGTGATTGATCAGAGCATTTTATTACGCAATTATTTTAAATCCTAGCCGTCCTAGAGCAAAATGAGTGACATTTTTTAAATCAGTTAAACTAGGCCGGAGCAAAGATAATACACCCCATAGATTGGAAACTCTCCCACCACTGCCCTCTAGTTCTACAATACCTGAACTATATCTATTTTTAAATTGCAGACATCTGTACAAACGCTATTTGCAAATGTCAATGTCAATCATAATTATTGATGTCGATCATAATTTTTGAATTATTAAATACATTTTTGCACCTTAAAAGTGATAAAACGTGTTAATGGTTGTGAAATATATTTTTGTTGGGCGCGGAAATGTAACCAATTTGTAAGTATTGACTATCCTGCCGTCCTAAGCCAAAAAGACTCATCTCGTTATTATTAAATTATTCTCTTAGAAAAAAAGACAAATTTTAACTATACATACATTTTTAAGTACTATAGCTCCTAAAAATTTCTTATTAAATTGATCGTATCTTGGAAAAAAACAATAAAGCGCTATAATTTATAAAGTGCGTCTTTTTGGCTTAGCACGGCAGTATCGCTCTAGCGTAAAAATACTTTTTGTTAATTATGAATTATTTGGGATTGATTTTTTAATGGTAATTTAGTCCAGGCCAAGCCCAGGCTACTTATGGTTGTTTCAAAACCAATAGTTGGCAAGATAGATTTTTTACGGTTGGTTAGAACTTGCCAAAAGTCCACAATTTTGCAATATTCTCTTATTATTGAAGAATTAAGATTAATATTTTTTAGGTTTGCACTCCACAAACAAACACATATTCATGTATACAGATTATGTATAGATGTATGTATTTTATTTTATATTATATTGTTAATACAATAAATAAATCTTATATCCATAGGTACTTGTTTTATTTAAAATACAGCAGTAAATACAATATATAAAGGCACCCTACGAAGCATCAATATTCAAATATGGCGCCAATATGTTACAGAAATCTACTTCAATTTTTGGCATTGCTAAGGGTATTGTAGACCTAGATGGCGTTAATTTACTTTAGCCTTTTGCCGCTAGCGCTAGTGCAGTTTCCAATCTATGGGGTGTATTATCTTTGGGCCGGAGTACTCAATTTTAGAAAAAAAAGTTTTATAAAATTATCATAGTGTAATTTATAAACAATAAATGAAAATGAAAACCTTTAGTATATATAAAAATAATGTATGTAATGCCTATGTTATATTCAACTTGACATGCAAATACTTGTTATACTAACAAGTTCTAATTTTTTGTTCAATCAATAGTTATAATTTTAATAGTGGTATTTATTCTTTTTCTTCGGTTCTCTATCTGGCTATTAAGCTACGGCAATGGGTGATATTACTGGCAATGCCAAGGGAAATATTACTTGAGTGTCCGGATGATCCGAAGCGCCGGAACGGGTTGTAACATAACCTATGACATAACAAGCGTTCACTGTACACTTGGGGATGCGGGTTTCTAAGATAACGTTCCCAAAGAAACGACTACGCCAATTATGTCGTAAAAAATAATAAATGTTATTGACTGCAGCGGCATATAGCGTTTATTGTTTAAATATTTATAGTTAATCCACCAAACGCTGCTTCTAGTAAAGAGTTCCAGATTTTATGTCCATACGTGATGTAGGGGTTTAAGGGAGCTAGAGGGCTTGTAAAATATAACATCCTGATCCAGTCATCTAACCGCCGCGGCAAGCTCTGATGTCATAATAAGTGTCGTTAAAATTTCATTGCAATTGAACTGCTTTATAATTCGTTTTAATACCGTCTACTAAATTATTTATTGCAGTTTAAATAACACATTGTATACAATCAACGATGATTATATTAAGTTAAATATTAACGATTTTCCTTTACGGCCAAGAAATAAATAAATGAATCAGAAAACAAAATTTGTTACTTCAAAACAAAACCCTCTTTAGTAAATTTTTCGGGCATTTTTGTGCAACATGAATAAACAAAAGTATTGACTTAACCCAACGTGTCCATTGCTTTGGAAACCTTGTTAATTTATATTTTTTCTCGTATACCAATGTTAAATTGTTTTATTTTACCAAAATACTGAAGCCAAGATTTTAAAATTAAATTTAAATTTTAACTGGGACAACCCGTAAGTATCTTTTTTAATTAAGTAATAAATTCATGTTGTATCTATGAATAATTAACAAAGAAAATGCACGCTCCATATAAATCCCTAGGTTGGGGTTTTAACAATTCGCAAGTTTTCCCAGCTCTAGCGTGTTATTATTGTAATATTAAAGCAAAACGCTTTGTGCATGATGTATACAGGTAATTAAGCCCGGCGCATTCGCCATTATTGCAACTATTCACTAAATTATTAAAATACGTATTCCCAAAAAATTTGTATGCTTTAAAAAAAATTATATTCATTCGCAGCATTATAGTAACCACATTAACAGCCGAAACTATAATAAAACCAATGAACAACACACATTTTAAAATTTTATTTAAATAAAA